TGAAGGTGCTCGCTATTTTTCTGTGTTTTGATTCATATCTCTCTCCATACTTTACATAAATTTGGCGCGATGGTTGTGTTAGAATCGTCTTGAAGAGACGAGTTCAATGATGCTAGCCTGGGATCCTAATTTTTCCATTAGAAGGACCTCACAAAATCCCCATTGTAGGGTGGCTGAAGGTTGAAGATGATGACATGTCTCGTCTCAGTCAATGATAGCGTGCCAAGCGTTTTAATTTCATTGGTTGCCCTTTTTCTGATTACATGTGTGTTTCACTAAGGTCCATATCAAGCACATCGCGTCTGGTCCATTAGATTAGCTTACTAACGCGTTTTGACTTTGATCTGATGGTCCACATCTTTTTGGTTTTATTTTATTTTCTGATTTTATATTTTATTTGATTAAATTTTCAAAAATTCATAACTCTTTTATTTTTTATCCAAAAATTATGAAAAATTCACAAAAAATACTTTGAATTATTTCTGATCTCATGAATAATTTTTTATATTTTTATTTTAACATTTGGTATTTTTTTATATTTTTTATATTATTTGCTTTCTTTTAATTACTTAAAAAATACTTTCTAACATTTTTTAAATCTGAAAAAAATTCATAAATATTATTTTGCATATTTTTGACTTTCTAGAAATTTTATGGAATTTTATGTTGTGGTTTAATATTTTTGATCTATTTTATGTTTGTTTTAGCAATTTTAAATGGTTAAAAAATAGTTTCTGACTTTTAAAAATTACTAAAAATTTTATAAAAATATTTGGACCCATTTCTGATTTTTCTATGGTCTTATTTTTCATTTCTTGATTAATTTAAATATAATTGATATTTTCGTCATTATTTTCTAGTTTATTATAACATTTTCCATCCTTTAATATATATATTAAATATTATATCATTTTGTGAATATTTTCTGGCTGTCTTGGGTTGATTTTTTGATTATGGCTTTATTAACATCATTGGATCCATGGTGTTGAGTTTAACTCCACAAAAATGGATGAATGATTTTAATAATAGTTTGATTAAATATTAATTCAAATGTGGTTTTCTTTTTTACCCTAATTCCTCTTCATCTCATTCCCTTCTCCTTGCACTAAATGTTGTTGGAGCATGATCTCTATATCATGTCTCAAAATAAATGGTGCATAGATTGCTATTGACCGACCTCAAAATAGGTGCGACTTCTATATAAGTCCACTTACGATTGCTTAACATAGCGCTAAATTTTGTCCTGATTCGAATAAATGATCATTCGTGGCCCAAACTTATGATTGCAAGCCCAAGTATGTTAATTTGATCTCTTTGATCCAATAACCTTGAGATTCATTGTGTGGAGGATTTGGTTCTACCAATCCTCTAATGGATCTACAACACCTTTGGTCAACGCGGATCACTTAAACATCGTTGATCATTAAATGGTACTTGTGAGAATTCCAAATGGATGATATACTTGACAAAAAGCAAACACAACTTGTTGTGTGGAGGCTTTGGTTCTACCAATCCTCTAATGAGTTCCAAATGTAAATTTCAAGATGGTCATCCAACTAACCACTAATTATTGACTTGTTTTATTTTATGCTTTTATTCTTTTATGCTTTATGCACTATTTACTTTTAACATTTATATTTCATGCCATTTTCATCTTTGCTCATTTGAGCATTTATTTTCTTGTCATTTTTACTTTTCTCACTTGAGCTTTTCTTTTTCTTTTTTCTAAGATACTTAATAACCAACTTAAACCCTAAAAAACTCTTAATGGTACTTGGACTATTTGGTTACTATCCTTGGCATTATGGAGCATGGAACTTTTTCTTGGACTTAGGATTAGAAACCTTGGCCTATCTTGGAGACCTTGTAATCTTATCTGATTATTTTGTCTGGAGCTCTTGAGGTTTACCTCAAGACATTGGGTTGCTTATTTGTTTTTGCGTGCAGGTTTTGTGATTACATCCTTTGTCTGTAATCTGGAATTCACCCGTATACAGTCGTTACTCTGCCCAATTTTTGTGAAGACTTAATACACATGAAAAGGTCTAGTATCTTTGCTTGCTTGGTTTCAATCCAAAGAATGAGAGTTCTATCTTGGCTCATAATGTCAAGTTTTGGCTTCTTGTTTGTTAGATGGTCTTTATCCTTAGCTTTTACCTTATACTTTAGGATAGTCTCTTCTTCTCCTCCCATTTTCTTTAATTTCAAAAATCTTCTCCCTCTTTTTTTTAAACCCTTATTGTTTCTAAACTTGAACCACTTTTATAATAAACTTGGACTTATGTCCATGCATTTTCAAAAATAATTTTCATAAATAAACTTCAATCAATTTAATAATACTTTGACATTTTTTGTGAGAAGACTAAAAGTCAATCAATCTCATTTCAAATCATTTTGCCACTTTGGCTTTTACCTTTAAACTTTTCTTAAAAGATTAGGCTCTTGTCAATCCTTATAGTGATGCAAACAACTATACTTCTATAATATGTAGTGAAGTGAGATATTTTCCACTTGGGTGTTGAGTGAGGCATTATTGATTTTAAAATCCAAGTCATATCCTCCACTTTGAGATGATGCAAATTCTCCTTTCTCATGATTGTGAGTAGTAAGTATGTTTTTCCACACGGACAATGACGATGACGTCTTATCTCATAAATTAACCAACACACTTGTGTTTCAAATTTTTAAAAGAGGAACTACGTGTACCCTGATCCCCTATTGCACGAAAGGTGGTACGTAGGCACTAAAGGTTCGCAACCGCGGCGGGTGCAAAAATCATAAAAAAAATACTTCTTTTCTTACCTCCACCATCTATTTCTATACAACACATTTTCATAGCCAGAATATACAGATTTTACAAAGAGGTTCCTGCGGAGTACCATAGATGTTTAGGATGCTAATACCTTCCCTTTGCATAACCAACCCCCTTACCTTGAATCTTTTCCCCTTTTTTGGGTTATTCGCTCTTTTCCCATTCCTTTGGAAACAATAAAGCGCGGTGGCGATTCTTATTTTGATTTGTATAAAGACTAGTCAATCCAATGGCTTAGTCTTGAACATTTCTACCGCTACAAAGAGGCAATGTTTGCTAGTTTCGTGGAAGCTAATGACTTGTCTGAAACCTAGAGGATTGGTTTGAAGCTTAGAGAACATGTTTTTTGGTGGTTATCGGTCTTGTATATGGACTCAGTTTAAACATAAAAATAGTATAATGATGACAATTGGTACCACATTTATATTGTATTAAGTTGCATTCGAGTCACATATGTCGATCTGAAATGTATAATTTGTGTGCATTATGTAATATTGATGTGAATGTTACATTGGTGGTATTTGTGATTGATTATCTTTGAATCATGAATTGTTGAACAATGTTGTATACGTGAACATGATAATTGTGTTAGAAAATTTTAAATACATGAATGTATGAAGTGTGATGAATTTAATTATTGTATGTATGTTATGCATTACTTATTACTATACATTTATATAATGATATGAATTCTCACCCTTCTATTGAAATGATGTTTTATACGACATCACTCGGGTACCAAAGAGTAGTGTTTCTTTCTCGCAAGGGTTAGTCGGAGGATCTAGTTCTTTGTTTATTCGTATTTAGGTAGTAAGTCATGCTCTGATCATGTAACACGGGGAAACGTTTGAACTCGTATTGTTTTAAGAGATGTTTTGTTATACTCTCATTTATATTATTGTGTATTGAAATTATGTGATGATTGGCCTTTAGTGCCTAATGTGTTAATACATGATTTCCATTATAATATTTAATTATTAATATCGTTTTGAAAAGAGAATTATTCCGTTGTGATATGCGTATGTGTTAGTGTATGGAATATGATTTTAAATGCATGTATAAGCAGGATGTCATACCCCAAATTTGCCCGCTCTTTATTTCTACCGTCAAAAAATATTTTCAACATTGGTATTATAATATTATTTGATTTTTATAAATTGTCGCTTCCAAACCTATTTAAAAATATAATGATTTATTTCAGATCATTTGTATTTTTGAATAAACAAATACTTGCTCGTCTTCATGTAATTTCAATTGGCTTTTTATTTTGAATAAGTAATATAGCACAATTGGTAAAAAAAATGAAGCTTGCAAGGATGAGGTTTTTGGCCTGACTTACTTTTCAAGTCTTTTAACCTAATTCTAACTCTATAAACATGACTCTTGTTGTCCTAGTTTTTTCATCAACAAATCAACAATTTCTCACAACAACCATCCACAATCCAGAAATCCACAATTTCAATCATCAGAAATTCAAACTTTTGTTTTATTTTATTACAGGGTTTCTAAACAGAAATCCTGAAACCTGTTGTTGTCTATATCAAACAATAACCAACAAACGGCCGATGATTTCATATGAACCCCCACTTTTTATTTTCAATTTTATTTTTCAACTTATTTTTTATTTTAACCAAATGATGATTCAAATGGATCTTTTATTAAATCAACAATATACCCACATTCTCACGTCAAAAACCTTGTTTTTTCTAATCTTGTTTTCAACTAGTGCATAGATCTGCTATACCTGATACTTTTACTTTATTAGTCTTATTCTAACATTAACCTTAATATGATACATGTGGGTATGATCTATGCACTCTTGCTAATAGATAGATGTCGAAATTAGTTTTATTGTCTCATCTTCACCACAACTAGTTCACGATATTTTTTCTGAGAAATACAATCAATAATCATCACAATTTCTACCATAAATATAAACATATTTTCCAAAACAATACTATGATCTTCATACTCAATTATTTTCCAAACCAGTGCAATTTTTTTCAGACCATTGACAATTTTAACAAACATAAACCTTACCAAACAAATTCAACAATAACAAATTTTTCATTCATAAACTTCTAAACATCATCTTCTACGGTCAGGTATGTTTGAACATTGATTCTCACTCCACAAACCTTGTTCATAACATTACTTTTATTAAAACTGTAAAAATTCATATAACAAAATGTTAATAGTTCAAAGAAAGTCAACAAAGAATTCCATTATTAGAAGTGGGAGTTTAAACAGGTTGTCAACAACAAATTAAGTTCTTTTGATTTGTTTTTTTTTGATGATTTTTGTTTTGTTTAACAGATTAAGAAAACAAAGAATTAGAAGGAGAACCGAGGCCAGCTTGCACAGGACCTGGTCACGCAACCAGTCGACGACACCTCCGCACAGCCGTGAACCACCCTCCATATCGTACGCCGCGACCATCACCGTCGCCATCAAGATCGCAACTCCGACATCCACCCAAATCGCGACCGTGCGCCACTGTGAAGCTCCATCCGCGTCATTCTCACTACCGCATATGTCTCAGCCAAATTCATTCACCGACGCAAAGCCCTCCTTTACACAGAAGCATCAATGGCTATCCGATATCGCAGATGTCAACCTATCACCAGAACCAATTGCCTCAATCCCATAATGGATCTGCAAGCTCCTTGCACTTCAGGCCCGCCGTGAAACGCCATCGTCATAGGCCTCCAGTCAACACCATTATGTCATCACGAATTCCAATATATAACCTCACTAATTTTTCTAAACCTGTAAGAGAATCTTACATTAACTCATAGAAGAAAATGGGAAATAAAGGTTCCTGTTCATATTCTGAATTCACGGTGCATTGCTATTTTTTATTTTTTTTTCATATGGATTTGTAATTTGTTTGATGTGTGAAGAAGAAAATGATGGGTTGTTGTTTTGAGAACGGAAAGAGAAGGCTAAAGAGAAAATGTTCACGAGAAGAGATATGGATTATTCTATACTTACACGGGTTATTTTTTATGTATTAATTACAAGTTTAGGATTTTGGGCTTTATGGGCCCTCATTTTGCCGCTACACCCTTCTCGTTTAAACTCACACCCCCGCCAGTCTAATGGGCCAAGTCCAACATCTGGACTTGGACCCTTACTCCCTGCACACCCCCAGTTTTTGCTTCTTAGTTCAAAATTGTACCCCCTGGCGTTTGGGTCTGAATTCAACATCTTAGTTCAGGGCCCTACTACCTGTACCCCTGTTTTTCTAGTCCAACATAACTTACACGCCCCTACATTTCTTTAATTTAATTTCTTTTTATTATTTTATTATAATTATTTTATATGTTTTAATATATATAAATTTTAATATTATTTACTATTATTATTATAAACTCAAATATTTATTTTCTAAACTCATCCAAATATTTATTTATTTATTGCATTAAAATTATTTTTTAATCATGCATTAATAAGATGTTTCTATAATTAATACATTAAAAAAATATCTAACCAACACTAAACTCTTTTTCATAATAAATTAAATCTAAATCAATTTTCAAAAAGGATTACGAAAATATTTTAATCGACTGCGCACTTCATCTAAAAACTCCGTTATTCACACACCCAGACTAAGTACAAGGGGAATTCAAACATCTTCATAATCCATAAATAACACCAACCAACTGTGAACTACGAATCGGGACTCTGATTCCTCCTAAGAGGATACGTATGCATGCGAATAAAATCGTGTCGAGTTACCCTAATAAAAATTAAAACACTATTTCTCAAAGATCGCGTTTCTAAACCCCAATATCTTCGTGAACAAGGTAGATGAGGGGTGCATAACACCTTCCCTTCGTATAAGAACGAGTCCAACAACTTAAAATCTCTGACCAAATTAGGGTTATCCTTTATATTCCCTTCTTAAATATAAAAATTAAGGGTGGCGACTCTAAATTTTAAAACCGGTTACAACAACTGGCGACTCTGCTAGGGACTCAACCCTAGGGTTTCAAAGCCTTTTCTTTTGGTTTTAGGGTTTTTAGGTTTTTTGTTTGTTTTTATACATGCTTATTTAATTATTTATTCATTTTTGCTTATTATATTATTCATTATATTTATTCATCTATGGTGGGATTTTATTATTTAAAAATATATTTTTCAAAAACCCTTAGAAAGAAGATTCGTCTATTAGCCAAAGGGATACATCAGCCCAATGAGTTTATGTGACGACTTCGCCTAGACTCGGTGGAATTCTGAAAAAGGAATACGTCTCAAGAGATATCCTTTTTGGGGGGTAGGACTTTGGAATGAAACCTATGACTCTTTGTATAACCCTTAAACCAAAATCTCAGGGTGAGACTTTTCATGGCCTAGAGACAAAAGTTTCGGTCTACAAAGAGGCTCCACTTAAGGGAGGCCCTTGTGCCTTTTCCTCTAGTGTAGTCCATGATACCCTTAAGGAAGCCACCTTGTGGGGAATGGTAGAAAAACTTAGAACCTTTATAGGAGCTCTCCTATAGGTTATTCTATCAACATCATATCCTCTTAACCTGTAAGGGTATCCTCACCTCTATAACTATCCCATAACCGGTATATGGTATCCACATACCCTAAACCCGTATAAGGTATTTACTACCCTAGGCCCATGAGGATTTCTGTTTATCAATTACAATCTTTATGTCCATAGGGATTCCAATAAACATGTTATAATCCTTGGGCCCGTAAGGACTTCCATGTGTCTGTTACAATCCCTAGCCTGTAGGGATTCCTTTCTGTGTGTCATGATCCTTAGCTTGTAGGGATCCCTTTTTTCCCGTCATTATTCTTAGAACGTCTTCACTGATGCACTCCATGTGGCCTATATCAGGCCATAGGATTTGGTGACTGTTTACCGGTCACCGTGTGCTCTCTTCCATGCCATTCCCTCAAGTCCAACCTTCATCTCAACCGCCCATTGGTCTACCATAATTCCTAGCCTGTAGGAATTCTTGTCCCTCTGTTATAATCCCTAGCTTGTAGGGATTTCTCTTCGCCTTTCATGGTTCTTAATCCTTAAGGAGTTCCTGTCTGTCTCAATCCCTGAGTCAGTGTAGGATACCCTCATTTCCATGTCTATCATTATCTTTGTCCTTAAGGAGTTCTTGCATGTCTCAATCTCTGATTCAGTATAGGATATCATCATTTCCATGTCTATCAAAAAACCCATATATAGGATACCTTTATGTTTACCTTCATACTACATCCACGTCGCATTGCATCTCCATGAAATTTTTAGCATACCCTTAAAAACAAAAATATTTTTGCATACCTATGTGTGATACGGTGGCCAGAACCGGGACTGTTTTAGGAATTGCTGGTTTGCGTTTTGCGTTTGTGTTTGCAAAATGTCCCAGTAAGCAAGAGTCGCCACCGACTTTTATTTTATCCAACAAGGAAAGGAAAAAAAGCACAGAAAAATTCCCTTTTTCGAGATTTTGAGTACGGGGGGTAGATTATAGAAATGGAAGGTATTAGCACCCTTTCTATCGGTAGTTATCTACGGACTCTTAGGTACTTGCTCATCTTTTCAAAATTTGCTCGTGTGTGTTTAATTTGAAAAAGTTTTTGACTTCGATTTAACCCTTGCTTCTGTCTTCAAGAGTGTTACGAAGTGTTTTTGAAATCTTTGTTCGAAAAGAGTGTAAGTGTGAAAAAGTTTGTTTGGATTGAGCAAGTACTTAAGAACTAATCTACCTACTCGAAGAAAAGAATTGTTCTATGTTTATTTCCTTTAGACAGTGCTATCCCACTATTAGTGAGTAGGTAGCACCGTTGTTGGAGTTTTGAGGGTCAATTCAAAAGGGACGTACGATCACTAAAGCAATGTTAGGACGTCTTAGTAGTAACCCTAATGTCTTAGATCAATTATTCGAGGCAACAATTCCGAGGCAACTTTTCCGAACGGGACTTTGATCTTTGTTTAGACAAGAGAGTGACCACTAAAGCATCCTATACTTAATGATCGTTTACCGAAGGCAACCGAAGTGAGGGTATACCCTAGGAGTGCGCATGTGCGAGTGATTCCATTTCAAGTTTATTATCTTTGCACATTTAGGGTTAGCTAACCGTTTTAAAGTTAATCATACATTCTTGTCATGCAACCCTAATTATTCATACATCTAACAGTTGATATTTTACTGAATTTAAAGTGAGGAAATTAAGCTACGCTATTACAAGGCTTCGGGTATTTACATAGCCAAAAACTAACCCGTAAAAAAAACGATAAATGAAGGTAAAAGATCCTAACTAATCTATTACAACTTGTGAGAAATTTCATTAATATGGCAAAAATAAAATAATAAAGCGCGCGCGAGGAAATTAAGAACGATAAGAAATTAGGGTTTTGACCCCTCCTAACCTAATTAAAAGAAAAAAAAATTTGTTGTTTTTAAAATGTTTTTAAGAAAAAGAACAAGTTTTTTAAATTAAATACAAAATTAATTAGCTAATTAAATTAATTTTTGTATAAAAAATAAATCCTAAACCTAATTGTGTGAAAATTTGATTTTATGAATTTTTTATTGGTTAAAAAAAGAAATTATTTTAGTATTGAGAAAGGATAATAAAAAGAGTAAAGGAAATGACCCAAGGGCCCACTGCCAGCGGTTCCGATCAGAGGATGATGATCTAGAGGATAAAGGTCCAGAAGATGATGGTCCAGAGGATGGTGGTACTGGGCCTACTCCTGGCTAGTGGATCCAGCGGATTATGGCTATCAGAGGATGAGGTGCGCTGGATCTGGCTGAGACTGATGGATCCAGAGGATAATGCCCAGGGGACGTTTGATCTGGTCCTGTTTGATGAAATCAGAAGATAATCCCCAGCAGATGTAAGTGTTGGATCTGGTGAAAACAAAGGGGGAAAATGCCAGAGGGTCATGCCTGGGATCAAACCCATAATCATGAACTTCTGACTTCCTTCTTCTGACCAACTGCGCTGGGTGTTAGCTTAACAATACAACAGAACAAACAAACAAATCAGAACTATAGGTTTCTGGCTGGAACAAACGCGCCAGAATTTAAACCGGCCAGTAAAGTTGTGACACGCTATCGTCTTCTTCCCTGGATTCATCGTTTAAAACTCATAACCTTTACCTACATATATGGAACTGTAGCTGTAACCCTGTGCATCTCAGAAATTACATACAAGCAATATAAACAAAACTTAAGACCATGGATCAACTGGGTTTGATCCACTGATCACAATGGTCTCCTCCATTTGGGCCAATTTCACCTGCACATAAAAACCCTAAAACAAGACCAAGAATCCTAACAATGGCAATTCTTGATACAGTCCATAAAAACAAAATTAAATGTTATGGATAGTTTGCAAATGCTTCAAGGAGTAAGAATATACAAATATTTCATGCTATAGATGCCAAAATTATGCAATTCGAATTCAAGAAAAAGCCATTGTTGTGGCTGACTTACAGTGAGTTATAGTGCTGGAAACTCCTTGTTCTTGATTGGTTTCGCTTGCTTGTGATCCTAGGAAGCGATTGGGATGGCTATAAGGTCTTGAGAATGCCTGAAGTGCAAAATCGAAACACCACTTTTCTTTGATTTTTTCAAGTTTATTCTGACTTCGTGCGCCTCTCCAACCTCCTCCTTTTTGTCTGCAAATGTT